CAAAAACAGAGCCAGACTTGGAAAAGAATGGGATGAATGCTAATTTTTCCACTTCTGTGCCAAAAGATTCAAAGAAAATGATATTTTATACAACCTAAATAGTTAAGAGTTTATCAGTTGTCGCTGATTAGAGCTCCTGATAGCAGCCAGACGGTACAGCCAATGGTGAGCTGCAAGGAGTGCTATTTCAGCAATATTTGAAGAGCTCCCAGATCCCCTCTCGAGTTTTAACAGAAATTAACATCATGACCTTTTGTGGGTCTAAAGCCAGAAGTCTCTTGTGATTTGTGGTTTCAGCAGCAACTGGGTCATCCTAATCAAAGCTAGGTTAAGGTAATTTCTCTCTGAGTTACAATCTGTTGGTGTATTTGCACAGCTATTACTTTAGATTATTGATGGCCCTGGCCACTTCTTGATGTGAAGCAGCTGGTTCCATTCGTAAAGCTTTACTATCTCACTGATAATGAAACATTTTCTCAGTTTTGGATAAAATGCTAATGCGCTGAAATGTCAGAGATCTTCAAGAGCAAATGTTAAACACGCTGAAACAAGTCCCAGTCATTTCCTTTAATTCCAAAAAAACCTGTTTAAAAAATTGTGAGTAAGGTACCTGCCTGTGAAACTGAAGCGCTGATCAAAGTCTGGTTTTGACTTTATGAATTAAAAAAGCGTGCCCTGGGCAGCCCTGCTAGGGACAATCAAGTTGCATAGTGTACACCCATTGACGGAGCATGATTATAGAAGGTGAAAAATATATGTTCCCGTAAAATTTACTAAGCCAGTGTCTCATACCTGCACTGCGTTTCTACACCACCCTGCCTCCAAGTTGTTCAAGGATCTGGATTTTTATGTAATTTCTCTCACCTCCTCCACCCACATTTCTTGTGGTAACTGTGAAATGCATGTATGCATGCCTGGTTTCCAACTTTTCCTTTGCAGTGAAGAAAAATGAAGAAGCAAGAAAGGATCTCCTGACTTGGTCCCTTCTTCTACTCCAGCAGCCCCCAACCTTTTGGGCACCAGGGACCAGTTCCATGGAGAGAGGTTTTTCCATGAACTGGGGATGGTGTGGTTTTATGTGCTGCCTGCATCCCGCGGATGGAATTTTGCTTGTTTGCAACTTTGCTGGTTTCTGGCATGCCATGGCCCAGTGCCACTCCATGGATCGGGGGGTTAGGGATCCCTGCTTTTTAATCTACTAATGAGGTGAGGACAATAAGGTTAAAAAAGTTTAGAGCTGTAGTCCCAACTGCTTCCCCACAACTCACCTCTCCACACATATGGCTCTTGTGGAGCCGTCATCTTGGAGATCCTGTGATTTGCAGAATTCACACCTCCTGGTTTTGCTTTGGGTTAATCCACCCTAGCATTCCTCAGTCCTTCCTCAATAGTGTGCAACTGATGGGCCATCACTTTCACTTCTGTGGCCACAAAATGATAGAAAATATTTCCAGTTGGTGGGGGGGGAAGCATGATGATCAAAGGCTGCCTTGCTTAGGCAGTCCAATCCTGAAACAACTATATATTCCAGAGACGAAGACTTGAAATGAATTGCCAGCACTGCTTCTTCCATCTGTACTTTCAGGACAAAGTTTGTCCATTTGTTTGGCCATTGGCTGAAAAATCAGAGCAGCGTATATGACAGGTTGAAAGTCACTGTTACTCCATGAAATGTAAAATTCACTCTGAGCTAGAGTGGTGGGGAAAAAAATCACAATATCTGCACTTTCTGCAACCAATCTCTTTTCTTTCTCAGTAGCTGCAGGCATGACTGGGCATCTAAAGCAGGAGGCCAGTTGAATATAGGGTCAGGCTGCTGAAGCCTTAGAGATGGGGGGGATAAAATGCTGGCTTTAGTTCAGAAGCCCTGAGGGTGGCATTAGGACAGAATTCCTGGCAATTGAAAGGGATTGCCCACAGTCTCCCAAGTTTGCGAAACCTCTGAAATAACCGGTTTTAACCAAACAGGGATGTAGATAACTTGGTGTAGAGCCAGGAAGTACTGACCAGCATTCCAAGCAAGATGATATTCTGCAATCAGGTAAATCAGTAACTGATTTCAAACAAGCCTTGATGTGAACTTGGCTTTAATACAGCATGTTCTGTGAACCCTCTTCATTGTTCCTTGCAACTCATGGTTTCTGTGTGAACTTGTGGAGTTGTGTTTGTTCAACAATTGAACCCATGCATTGATTCATTCTCTTCTGTTTGGAACATTGAATGCAAATTGTCCTTACTTTCTGGCTCATTTACTTAGGAAAAAAAAAAAGAATCCACCCTATTTAAAACACATTCAGACCATTAATAAGATTTATTTCAGTCCATGAGATAACATATGGTAAGACAGCCTAAATTTGCTTGTGTCAATAGAATAGAATAGAATAGAATAGAATAGAATAGAATAGAATAGAATAGAATAGAATAGAATAAACAAAGTTGGAAGGGACCTTAGAGGTCTTCTAGTCCAACCCCCTGCCTAGGCAGGAAACTCTACTCTGCTTTGGTAATGAGGCCAGCAAGGAGGGCAGTTTATGGTGCAGGGAATTGGTGGGATTTCCAGCTGCTGGGATTTTTAAAAAATCAATCATTCCCCTTAATGTGGACTGGGATTGGGGGAGGAGGCAAGTTTTGACAGATAGCTAGAGCGGTGGATTTAGCCATCTGTCAGAATGTTTTGTTTGCTTTAGGGTCCCCGTCCTACTGCTTTCTCTAGCAATATGGGCCTTCTGCTCTCTTCTAGTGTCAAATCAGCCCAGCAAGACAAAACAAAGTGACCATGGATGGAAGTCACTAGGCCTTGGGATCCAGATAGATTCCATCAATAGTTGTCTGATTCGTGTTGATGGTTTTTAACCTCGTCGGTTGTAGATTACATCTATGATGTTATTTTTCATTGATTTTATGTTCTTATGGGTTTATGTTTGTATGCGGTTTTAAAATATTGTTACCTGCCCAGGATCATGAATTTGAAATGGGTGGCCATGTAAATGGAAGTAAATTAAGTAATCAACTGGAAAGACACAGCACCAAGAGGAGTAAATAGATGCTGAGGAGATATCATTCTTGTCATCATTGTAAAGTGACATAGGCCATACATATAGAAAGCTTTGTGTTAGAAAAATGGTAGATATCATGCCTTCTGCATGGAACAGAAAAAATAAGGTCAGCTGGCTTCAGTTATAGGCTAGGAATGAAAAGAGGGATGTGTTTTTCAGGAATGTTTGGCTGGGATCAGGGGTGGGATTCAGCTGGTTCGGACCGGTTCGGGAAAACTGGATGCTAATTTTACATCTGGTTCGCCGAACCGGTAGTTTCAAGGACTGGCTGGCCCCGCCCTCCCCTCCCCTGAGTCTCCACATGGCCCGTTTTGGATATCAGGTAAGTGCAGGGCCCACGCGGAGGCTCTGGGAAGGTGAAAAACGGGCCTCAGGAGTTCCGGAAGCCTGGAAATGGGCCCGTTTCTGGCCTCCGGAGCCCAGGGGAAGCCATTTTTGCCCTCCTGGAGGCTCAAAGAAAGCCTCTGGAGCCTGGGGAGGGCAAAAACGCCCCCCCTGCCATGGTGCAGGAGGCCAAGTAGGCCACACCCACCATGGCCATGCCTACCCAGCAACCGAGCAGAGAACCAGTTGCTAAAATTTTTGAATCCCACCCCTGGCTGGGATTGAATTTGCAGATGGCCCAAAGCTGGGGGAGAAGGCTAAAACGTCAGAAGATAGGACCAAGGTTCAAAATGAATTTGAAAGATTTGAATATTGCATTCAGTGGCAAGAAAGGCAGGGCTCTGCATTTAGATAGGAAAAATTGGATGTAAAGTTACATCTGGTTACGTGACACCTGGTTCTCAATAGTACTTGTGAAAAGAATCTGGATGTCCTGGTAGATCACAGGTAAGCCAGCAGTGTATTACAACTGCCCAAAGGGTCAACACAAACTTAGGCTGCATTAGTAGAGGTGTAATATAAAGATCACAAAAAGTGGTAATTCTGCTTTTATGCTACACTGGTCAGATTACACCTGAATTACTGTGTCCAGTAATCTTTGTGTTGTGGTTCACAATCCTTGTATTGTGGTTATCAATACAAGGAAACCAAGGAGCTGGAAATAGTGCAGAGAAGACCAACAATGATGATGTTGGATCTGGAGCCCAACTTTTATGAACAACAGTTAAAGGAACTGTATAGTTTTAGCTTAACCTTAAGCCTAAATTTAAGGCTAAGGGAAATTATAACCATCTCCCAGTACTTGAAGGGTTGTCATAGGGAAGAGGTTGTGGATTTATTATCTGTAACACCCAAGAGTAGGGCAAGAATCAATGGGCAGAAGATTCTGAGAAGGGGGTCCAAGCTTGAAATATTTCCTCATAGAACTTCAGATACTCCTCAAGTTACAATCACTTTTTCAGTAAGTTACTTAGTATCAATCTGCAAAGTTGCAGCTGTCATAGTCTCTCATGGCCCCTTGGTCACATGAAAAACTTAAAAATACCTACTATATCTAATTGCCATGGTAATTTGGAACGGTGAAAATATTGGTCCAAATGATCTGGTGGGCATTGAGCAGAAAAAGGTTGTAGCATGGGAGAGGAATTTTTTAGACTGCAGAATACATTAAGCAGCAGTAAATTTGCCTCATAAATGAATGCTCTAGGAACTGAAAGAGCTTCAGTCATAACAATCAGGGGATGATAGTCCTTATTTACTAAACAACATACAGTTCTACAAAAAGTCCTGGTATTTTAACCTTCATCTGAGCCACTAGGCAAAAAGTTAGAACACGAGTCAAAACTAGGGGTCAGGTCACATTCCCTTGGTTATTTATTCCACAGATATTCCACAAAGTTGCTTTCAATGAAATCCTTTAGTTTTCACAAAGAATTCATTAGTGAAGCACACTGCAAAAATGGTTCTGCTGTGCTCCAGCTAAACTATTAATATTTTGTTACCTCACATCTCAGCAAACTGCCCACCAAAACCAAAAATTGGCAATGAAGAAAACTGAGCTCAGATAGGAAAATTTATTGGAGAGATAAAGTTAAGTGATATTTACCTAGATTTACAGCCCTGAAAATTATTTGTGTTCATGGATTAGACTGAGGCTAAGAAAGATTTAAATCCTGGCTCATTCATCACAATTAATTACCATCCATCTTCCTTACCTACCTCACAAGATGGTTGTGTAGATAAACTGGGAATGAACAAAAACTATGTACTTTAGCTTAAAAAGGAAAGATGGAAAAATGTCAAATACTTTATTTAAAATTATCAAATCTCATAGAATTCCCTACGATTCAATGGTAATTTCAAATTTTTAGAATCTGTTATTGGAATAAAAATGAAGTCCTATAATCACATATTTGAAAATAAATTCTGCTGAAGCCAGAGGAAACATGTTTGCACAATGTATGCATTGCACTGGGATACACATGCCATAATACAATTCTGTGAACTCATTGGTTAAAAAGATAAAAAATTCCCGTGAGTCTAATTTGAGTTCTGGTTACCACATAATAAAGGGCCAGTTTGGTGTGGCGGTTAAGGCATCAGGCTGGAAATGGAGAGACCGTGAGTTCTAGTCTCACCTGGGGCACGAAGCCAGCTGGGTGACCTTGAGCCAGTCACTCTTTCTCAACCCTAGGAAGGAGGCAATGGCAAACCACAGCTGAAAAACTTTGCTAGGAAAATTACAGGATTCCAAGACAATTGCAGCAGTCTCTGAGAATTGAATGGAAGGGGAAAAAAACCCAAATTCTATGCATACAGTATACGTTTAGGGGTTATGGGATAACATGGGGGGGAGGTTTAGAAATATGCAATACAATGCAGACCAGACTGAACTACAGATCAAACAGCCCATTGACCACGCTAGTGGAGAACTGATAGGGGGTGGTGGTGGGAATCCACAATATCTGGAGATTGCTGAGTTGCTTGCTTCAGTCCTACTATTCCATAAGACACACTTGGAAAGAGATTCAATTACATTACTGGCCTTAGCTGAATTCCATTCAACTGTTCAGTTACCCCCTCTCCACAAGATTCAGAAATATATGTCTGTTATTTTTTGTCTTTTAAAAGTCAGTGTCATCAGAAGACTTTGCCAAGCCAAATTTGATTGCTATGGTGCCATCATAATTATGTCAATTTCCACTTTCTCTGTTAAAAATGAAAATGGAACTGCTCAAAAAATCTGAAGCAGATCTCATGGGCTATTAAACTTACTTTGCAATCAAACTAAGGAAAGCCTTCAGAAAATGTTCTTTCTCCTGCCAATTTCACACAAACATCCGACAGCATCAAGTTGACATACTAGAAAAGCATATTTTTTTTAGTACACATCTTGATTTTATCACATGGGTAAAATGCAGACACTCTTTGAAACTCTCTTTCTAGCTCAATCAAAAGAATCAGAGAAGGAAGTAAAAGTAGCAAGCTTGTGTAGATACAGACTTTAGACTATTGTTTGGCTCCATAGATGTATCACGTAACACATTTGTTTTTCTTTCTGTTATTTTCTGCAATGTTTGCGTTTCTGCTAAATCGGTCTGCTTACGTTGTGCTGTATACCGATGACTGATATGTTCAGTGCTTTATGCACAGAATAATGGGGTTTTACTGTGCTATATACACAGAATAATATTGGACTAGAATTTGCCTAACAATCTCAGACAACTACAACACATTTCAGAAAATCCAGTCTCCTCTGAAATCTATTATTCTCAATAGTGTTTAATATTTAATGCCATTTCTGATTTAAGGGAAATGATTTCAAGTACTAACCCACATGTCTGGAAGTATTAAACAAAACCTAAATACACTAAGCTCATCTTTGCTGACAAAATAGTATTTTTCTTGCATTTCTCTCTCATCTCCACTCCTCTTGGCATTGTTAACCATCATTTAAGTATTTACAAACGGGGCTACCAAGAATACTAAAAAAAAAAAAAAAATCTTGTCGCTTATCTGATGAAAGTATCTTGTCTGAAATTTAATACGGTTAAAAAGATTTAATGCTTAGCTTGGAAAATCTGCCTTTCTTGAGAACAAATGATGCTTCTGTTTGTGGCATCCAGTACTTCTTTTATTTTTTAACAATTCAAGACAAGGCTTTAATAACTGCACTTTAAATCACAGGACCACTCTGCTAGGCCAAAAGATAAAAAGAAAAGGATAGCAGATTGTTTTGAGTTTTGGAAAAAAAAGCAGCAGAGTGAAAACTGTGGTGGGGCCAAGTTAATTTGATTGTTTCTTTCATGCTTAAAATAATCAGCAGATATGGTAGTCCTCAACTTACGACAATTGTGCCCCAAATTTATGTTGCTAAGTGGGAAATTTAAGTGAATTTTGCCCTATTTTACGATTTTTCTTGTCACATTTGTAAAGTGAATCACTTCCGTTTCTTAAATGAGCAAACAGGGATATTAAGCGAATGTGATTTGCCCATTGACTTTGCTTGTCAGAAGGTCGTAAAAGGGGATCATATGACTCTGGGACACTGCAACCGTCATAAATGAGAGTCAGTTGTCAAGCATCCGAATGTGAATCACATGACCATGGGGATGCTGCAACGCTCGTTAAGTGTGAAAAATGGTCATAAGTCACTTTTTTCAGTGCTGTTGTAACTTTGGTCACTAAATGAACTGTTGTAAGTCAAGGGCTACCTGTATTTTATTGCTTGAGTACAAGAAACAAGCATTGTTACACCAAAAAAGAACTCTCACTCTCATGCACACATTTCTATCTCATTGGCCTCTGAAATGGGGTTGTATGATCTGAATCTTAAAACATAGTTCTATTCCGGAGGGAATAAGGGATAATTGGCAGGAAGAATCTCTATTTGCTCTAACTAGCATCTTCTCAATTGACTTTTTCCATATAAAGCTCAATGGGATTGTATACGGCCATCTTAACTATTATTGTCAAAACTTTGCAAACTTTGTGAAAAAAAGGTTTAGTCAAGAGTAAGAAATGGGAATGTAGCAATAATTTCTCAATTCTGAGACGCTAGTTCAGTTCACATCGCATACGAAGCTTTGTTTTCATATTTTAATGCCATGTCATAACACATCAGTATGGTGTCATATTAATTGATTCATCCTTAATTTCTGCAGCTGCCCATCTCAGACGGGTGACTCTGGATGGCAATAATAAAAACAATTAAATGCAATTATAGTAGAGTACAAAAATAAATATAAATATAGCAGTCAAGATTTGGGGGGGAAATTTAAAAAAAAAAAACATCACAGATTTAGGAACTAGCAACAAAGCAACAGTATTCCCAGGGTGCCAACTCTGTGACCTTGGATGGCACACACATACAGTCTGTTTGATTTACCATCAGGTCTAGCTTGAAAGAAATTCAAGAAATTCAGAGTCTGTTTGTGGTCGTACTGGCACTAGTTGTATTTCTTCGTGGCATGTCACACTATTCTTCCAAAATAGAGAGATTTGGGATATTTTTCTTTTAGAGCAGGCCACTGGACAATGAAGTAATCTGAAAAGTGGTAAAGAATTTTTCCTGACAGAGATAGATTTTCAACACGGCAGATGCTCTCAACATACACAATGGTTATTTTCTTTAGTCCCAGTATTTTGAGTAAAAAGGCAGATAGACATATGGGGACACACGTTCCTGGGCCATTGCACAGCACCTAAAAAGAAAAAAAGAAAAGAAAAGGGTTCATCAAACCTTCCAGAAATCTTTAAAAATATATTAGCAAAAAGTATATAGAGTAGATATGCACAGTACATTCAAAATGAATCCAGATTTAACACAAAATACAAAAAAAAGGGGGGGTGGGGAAGCTAATGTTGACATATGAGTAAAGCTTAAACATTGGAAATACGCACTTTAGCATTAAATTGAAAAGGTGCCTGGATCAAAGATTTAATCAATGTTCATCATCTTGAATAAGCAGGCCAAAACAAATTTGTCAGCCAATCAGAACCGGGATGCCTTTTATGTACTTTGGCTTAAGCAAGGAGATGATTCACTGCCCTTCTGAATAACTCACATTGGGAAATGCAGTTTTAAAAAATCCAACTTTTTGGACAAAAGAGAAACTAGCTCTTTTGTTGAAGTTACTTGAGATAAATGTAGAAACTGGGAGGCAAGGTCTTGAGTTTATTTCCTCCTTGCAAACTTCATTTATTCCAGGGAACTCTCTGAGCAGCCTGAGGCTCACACTCCTTAATTGCCTGGACCTGAGGCTGGTCACTATGGGCAGAGGCCTGTTCTGATTTCCCAATGAGTTGGATAAGCAGTTTCATCTTCAAGATGGTCATTTAAGTCCTCCCGCCATGATTACCTCCTTCCTATCCTTCCTTATACTTCAGAAGTACAACCTTCCTAGGGCAGATGCAGCTTAATTGGGCTTCACAGCCTGGAAGAAGTAGCTGATTTTTGTCTCATCAGTTGGATCCAGATTAGACAAAGGAGCAACGTACCAATATCTACTCCCCGAATTAATCCAAACTCATAGATCCTGTGAATTCAGGAAGGCAAGGAGAGTACTAAGTTGACTCAGACAAAGAGATAAGTACTCTAAAGACCTCCTTCTCCTCTTCTTGCAAAAGTCTGGAGGCCATGTTCATCACTAATTCTCAAACTCTTTGCACCACAAAAGGAACACCTGTCTTTTCGCTTCCTTCCTTCCTTCCTTTCTAATTGACTAATTAACTATCTGCCCTTACTTATGGTTGTCTTCTTCCACTACCCCGATCTGTTACAAGGTCCTCGGTCCCCATTTTTCCCCTCCCTCCTCTTTCTTCTGAACTCCCAACCCCCCACATTTAAGACATTTGTACCTCTCCTTTCTCTGGCTTCTCCAAAAATCACACTTGGCTTTCTCCTTCCCTTTCTACCACAATACAGAACATGCATTGGACTCTCTTCCTATTAAAAGTGCACCGTACAGGCTGTTCCACTGTTCCCCCCCCCCCAGGGCTGTTCATTTCCATCCCTCAATACTGCTTATTGTTTTAAATGCTATTTCCCAATGAAAGCTGCGTTTCCTTTCAATGGTATTTCCCACTGACTGTTAGTTCCCCTACTGAGTGCTTTGTGAATGTTTTCATATTTTCATGGTATTGTCCCCTTAATAGTACTTCCTTTCAATGCCATTTCCCCCAATAAATAGTTCTCCAATGAATGTTACCTCTCCTTTTATTGCTCTTTCCCACCCGCTGAGCTCTCCACTAATGTTTTTCATGCGATGGTTGTCTTCTCCCTCAGTAGATTCAAATCTCCTTTCTGAGGTATATGTGGTTGCCATTTCTGTGATCCATATTTACTGTAGGACAAGCTCGCCGCGTCACATTGCCCTCACGTGACGTTTTGCGACATTTTTCCCATTTGCGGAGCTGGGGAGGGCATAGCCTGTGCGTGACGCATCTGGCCAGCAGGATGCCAGTTTGACACTCCTGCTCTAGGACATGTTGTGTTTAAATCCCCTTTAATTAAAAGATCTTAGTTGCATCCTGATCCCTGATGAATAGTTTCTGAGTACAGGAAGTCCTCAACTTGCAACCATTAATTTAGCGACAGTTCAGAGTTACAACCGCACTGAAAAAAGTTACCATTCCTCGCACTTACAACTGTTACAGTATCCCAATGATATGATGATTAAAATTTGGGTGCTTGGCAACTGGCCTGTATTTATGATGGTTGCAGCCTCCTGGGGCCATGTAATCGCCATTTGCAACCTTCCCAGCCTCTTTCTGACAAGCAAAGTCAATGGAGGAAGCCGATTCTCTTAACAATTGCAGTAATTCACTTAGAAACCATGCCCCCAAAATAATAAAATCAAGCATAAAATTGCTTAACAACCTTCTTGCTTAGCAAGCAATTAAATTCTGATTCCCAACTGTGGTTGGAAATTGAGTACTTTTATACACCCCCATAAAAGAAAGATTTAAAAGGAAGCTGCCCTTCTTTACCGAAAGAAACATAAAGTGATATACTAAGGAATTTGGGATAGGCAAAGAAATCCAATTCTTTCTTTTATAGAAAGAAAGACATTGTGAACTTAGCTGAAAGGAGGAAGGTACTGTATGTGGAAAAAGAGAAGTGGGTAAGGGGCACGCAATAAAACTAAGAAAATCACTATTAAGTGCTATAGAAAGATAAACAACCTGGCTGCAGCCAATCTTTTCTAATCACACTGCATGATTTCATGGCAGATGGTCAAAGTTATTATGTACTCAGTGAAGAGTTTTTGGGGGGAAGAGGGGGTGAACAGATTAAAATGGAATGTGACGTCTGCTCCTAGATCCACTTCTCTTAATATGCAATTGGGGTTCTCTCATATATTCTGAAGATTTGATGGATGACATGTTTCCCCGCTTTAAAAAAAAAACTAGGCCTTCCTAAAATTTTTTACACACAAGAAGAATGTATCCCATAATAAGAGCCTAACGAGTGTGAATTTCTGAAAAAAATATTAGGAAAAACAGAACCTCAGAAGGAGTCTGGCAGCTCCTTTTCCAACTGTTGTGAAACTTCCAGCCAGGCAGGGAGGAGAAGTCAAGCAGGGAACTAGCCTTGAGTCCTTGCGCAGCTATGAGAAGCGTAACCTTTTTTTTTTGTTGTTCCCAAGGGAAGGCAAACAGCCTGGGAAGATTCTTGTAATTTAGGCAGAACACAATAAAGTTGCTGACTTGGACCTTTCACGAGTTGATTTGGTTGCTTGCTGACATAAAGTAACAAACTGTATTGAAAGGCATAAGTTTTTATAAGCCGCAGTTTTTTTTCATCCGATAATGCAGCTCACAAAAAGCTTATGCCTTTTAATATATCCTTTTTAGTCGGGAAAAAATATTCCCAGATGCCTGGGTTTTTTTCCCCCACCACAATCTAATACTTCTCTCCTGAAAAACAATGTTTTCAGACAAAAGCAGGGCAAAGCATAGGGTGCATTGGGACCATCCAAGATTTCTGTGGGAAGAAGAGAAATTGAGAATGTGGTTCGCATGAGTCATCCATGAATTTGTTATAATTTGGCCTTAGAAAATTACATTCATAGGTCATGGGGGAGATAAATAGCTAGAAAGAAAAACAGCAGTGGTCTGGTTTAAGTCTACCTTCCTCTTGTATAACAGTCTCTAATGGAAATAAATGGGAACAGTTCTTGAATTCTACAGTATTAATTATTATTCTGTAGGCTCAGCTGAGAATTATTTTTAACTCAACACAGCATTATCTCAGAATTCTTTGTGCTATTTACCCTTTCTATATTACATTTTCTCCTAAATATAACTTACTACCGAATGACTTTCACAATCTATCCTAAGAAACAGAAACTGGCTACACCTGGACTGAATCTCACAAAATAGGAGACAGATCTTGCTCTGCAAGTATACCAACTATTCTTACCCCATCTTTGGTCGCCAGCATGTAAGCAAAAAAATATATACAGAAAAATAGCGGCTCAAGCAATTCATATCCGAAAAAATCCACTGCCGCTTTCTAGGACCTTATTTATTTATTGGTTCGATTTATACGCCGGAGACTCAGGGCGGCTTACAATGCGTTAAGCAATAGCCTTCATACTTTTGTATAAACCTGCTTAGTAGGGCTTTCAGCCCCTCCTAGGTGGTGTTCTTTTTTATACAAAGTCAGCTTATTGCCCCCACAATCCGGGTCCTCATTTTACCTACCTTGAAAGGATGGAAGGCTGGTCAACCTTGAGGCTGGTGAGATTTGAACTTGCAGTAATTGCAGGCAGCTGGTGCTACTTAACAGCACTTTAGTCTGCTGCGCCACCAAGGCTCTCACCTTGTCCAAATATTTTTCCAAATGACTAGTATTTTCTTCTTTTCAAAGCTGAAAATCTTTTAAATAGACCAAGAAGGCACCCCAAGTAATAAAGCAACACACTGTAAACATAGATGTAGAAATTGCAGGTGGAAGGGCTACTGAGAAAACGTATTCTCGCTCACACCGAAAGGAATCTTTCTTGTAACACTCACCTGTAGTGACAAGTCCAGGGAGTATATAAATTCAAAAGAATACCCTTTGATCTTCAGAAGGACTAGTCTGAAGATTGATGCAAATTTAAACTAATTAAATTCACCAGGCAACGTTCCTATTTTTAATAAAACTTCTATATACTCAGCTTGACTTTTGGTAACAACATTGACTATATCCAGATCCTAATTCTGAATTTCAGATCCTGATTTCCTAAAAAGCATTTTAAGGCACATGTTGGTGACTAAGGGTGCAAGGAGGATGTACAAATTGTAAAAACATCTACACACAGAGCATTACACATTATCCACATGTCTTCTCTTGAAGCCCTATATTCTTGGTGATTCACAGCATAGACCACAGGTGTGAACATTTAAAATTGCAATCCAAAACGTTAGGGGGGTAAGCCTTGGTGAATACAGGGAACTTATCTGGGAAAAAAACATGCACAAGAGTTGAGCCATCTAAAACTCCAAAATAATTAATTACGCAACCTCCTTAAGATAGAGCAGAATTTTGTACAAATAAATGAACATCTAATGTGCTTCCTAAAAACCAAGAGACAAAACAGCTCTTTAATGTACAACATATTAATCCTTGCCTGGAAGGCTGGAGAAAAGTACCAAAAATCTTTTTTTTCCCCCTCATTCCTTGCCCCCAACCATGGCAGATTATGAACTTCAA